GTGACGGGAATTAATATCCGTAGATCGCCGGAAGTGGCCTTGTTCAATATACTACCCTCTGATATTTCCCCATAAAATCGATTAAATTAATTTTATATATAATACTGGCAGCTCGCATCACCATAGCTAGAAGTTGGAAACAATCCTTGATCCCGCTGGAAAGAGTGAAACAAAAATTAAACTGGATAATGGTTAATGATAAACTAACAAGTATTGTCACTGACGATGTGCCCAGATTTGAGAGGACTTGGGAGCCTTGGATTGATTATATCACTGTATCGTGAGTGTTTGGCAGCTGACCCCCCCCCCCCTTCTTTTTTTTTTTTTTTTTTTTTCTTTCACTTTTCGTTTTTCTCCTTCTTTTTTTTCCCTACTCCATTCGTTGAAAAAATTGTTTTTTTTCTCTCTGTCACTTCTGGTTCATTTTGGTTTAATTATTATTTATTGATTTATGAAACTAGTATGTCCTGATGGCTATGACACTTTTTGGGCGAATTGTAATGCTATTGTCTGATAATTCCTTTTTTTTTTTTATATATATACCGATAAGTGTTATGATTCTGATTCTGCATCTTGTCCCACCATGCGGGTAGACTCCCCCCTTTCTCTTTGTGTTTGCCATCTTGTTCTCTGTTATAATATGCTGGTTTCTCAATAAAAATATTAAAATATAAAAAAAAAAATGAAATAGATATTTATCACCTAAGCATAACTGCATATAATAATTTGATTAAATATTTTTTCCCACAATAATATTGCTTAACATTATCTATTCCTAAAGATTGTATCTTTGCCTTGCTTTTATATATATATATATATATATATATATATATATATATATATATATATATATTATATATATATTTTATATATATATATATTTATTAATACTAAATATGTGTGCTATTAGCACCAAAATGCATTGGCTCTACTTTAACATTCAACAAATATTCAGACTATAGAAAGATTATCTGTTGTATCTATTGTTTAAGACTCAGGCATTGCCCTCACTGAAGGAGTACAATGCTCACATTCCTTTTGCTGCATCTTATATAACAAGTGGGATATCTCTATATTGTCAAGCAAGCAGCCTATTATTTCTGCTTAAAACAGCATACACAGGCAGTTCGATTCTCCTGGGTTTTTATTACTGTTTGTATTCTCATGGTGAGATTTATCATCTCTCTTTGCACTGGCAATTATTATCACTGGGATGACAAGTGACTGGAAATCCAAAGTTTGTCACTGGAACAGGAAGCAATGGGAAATTTTCATAGTGGGCCACCTGTTCCAGTGATGGCTATCTTCACTTTGACAGATTTTCTCTAACTTCCTGTTGACTCTCAAGGACAGGAAGTGAAGGCTGATTTGCCCAATGGAGGGGGAAACACAAAAACTTAATAGCTACCCTATAATATCAGGGCTCCCATCCTAGTTTTGATTGAAATGCTCAGAAGAGTTGAGTCTCAATGTGAAAATACTGTAAATCCCATATACACACCATGCATATACCGTGTGTGTGCATATATATTTATCTACAGGACCATGTTTACCATGGTGTAGCATCCCATCTTCTTTTAACAACATTCTGCAAACGTCTAAGAATTGAGGAGACCAGCTGCTGGAGTTTTGGAAGAGGAATGTTGTCCCATTCTCATCCAATAAAGGATTCCAAGGATGCTCAACGTCCTGGGTCTTCTTTGCCGTATTTATCTTTTCAATATGCGCCAAATATTTTCAATTGGTGAACAGTCTGGACTGCAGACAGGCGAATTAAGCACCCGGACTCTTCTATTATGAAGCCATTTTATTGGCCAGAGTACTTTCCATTGACATGAATATTTGCCCAAGCGCTAAACGCGGCTAACATTTAGATGTGTTTAAACATGTTTTGCTGCGTTTAACATTTTCTGGCCAAAACGTGATTCTTCTGCATTCAGGAGAGGAACGTTTAACTGCCTTTAAACTCTGCTGCTCCTAAACTCTGGTAAAAGCCTATGGACGCATAGACCTATAGGCTTTTATTGATTTATTTTATTCATAAAAATGCCAAAAGCTCCTAAACTCACATTTAGAAGCAGTAGTGTACCCAGGGGCGTATTTACCACAAGGCAAACAAGACAGTTGCCTAGGGCAGCATTTTTCAAGGGGGCAGTGCCAGGGGCGGACTGACAACTCATGGGGCTCCCGGGCAATAGGGGATCATGGGGCCCCTGTGTCCTTGCCCAAACTCAAAAAAGCCTATGAAAAAGGTACCAGGGGCATCTCATGGGGCCCCTACTGACCCCAGGCCCTCGGGCAGTGCCCGAGTTTCCAAATGGTCAGTCCGCCCCTGGGCAGCGCCACCCCCCAAAAGAAGGGATGGAAGAAGGGACACATGCAGCATGGGGAGAAGGTGGTATCTGAGGGAGGCTGCAGGCTTCTTGATGGTGTATGCAGAGCCTGACTCTTGTTCCCCGGGGATATCCAGAGCTGTGAAGGTGAATATATTCTCTCTCGCCGGGGTAGTGGGGGGTGGTAGTGGAAGGCTCTCTCAGGTGGAGGTGGGGGTGGGGCTGGGGTTTTGTTGGTCAATGTCAGGCTCTCTTCGTGGGGGGGAGGGGGGGTGTTGGTCAGTGTCAGGGTCTCTCCGTGGGGGTGGGGTGATTTTTGTGTTGCCTGGGGCAGCATGAAACTTAAATACACCACTGAGTGTACCCCCATGCCATCAGGGAGGCAGACTTTTGAACTGAGTACTGATAACAAGCCAGAAGCTCCCTTTCCTCTTTATTCCAGAGGACACAGCACTCAAGGTTGCCAAAAAGAATGTCACATTTTGATTGAGCTTTGGCCTAGAGAAGATGGCAGTGTTTCTGGATCATGTTCAAATATGTCTTCTTTGCAAGATAGAGTTTTACCCTGCACTTTTGGTTGGCATGGGGAACTGTGTTCACAGACAGTGATTTTCGGATGTATTCCTGAGCCCATGCAGTGATGTGCAGCACAGAATCATGGCTTTTACATTATTACATTACATCGAGTTTATATAGTGCCAAAGGGTTTGCTCAGCGCTGTACAATAGAGGGGGGGACAATACATGAAACATTACAGCAACTACAAACAGCACACGAGGGGTTCGAGGGCCCTACTCTTTCGAGCCTACAATCTAGGAGGGAGGGGGTAGTGGTACAGGAGGAAGTGGCTGTGGGGGATGGAGTGGTAGGAGGAATGAAGGAGAGCAGCAGTTAGGTGAGGGTGGGGTAGGCTTCCCTGAAGAGGTGGGTTTTCAGGGAGCGCCTGAAGGTGAGGAGGGAAGGTGATTTTAATGGCTGTTTTTAATTCAGTGCCGTCTGAGGACCGAAAGATCACGGGCATCCAATATTGTGTTACGGCCTTGTCCCTAGAGCACAGAGATTTCTCCAGATTTTCTGAACCTTTTGATGGTATCATGTAATGTAGATAAAGTCTTTTTAATTTTACCTTGAGAAATATTATTCTGAAATTGTTTGACAATTTTTAGATGCAGCTTTAAAATAAATCTTAAATTAGCTTAAAATGAAGTATCAGCTTTTCCCACCATATAGGTTAGCTATGTGCGACTGCTGAGGTTCAGAGGTGTACATATACATGTAAAGCATTAGCAGTTCTTTTTTAATTGGATTATTGAATCCTTCAATTTTTTTGGATGCTTTACTGTATCTACAATTTCCCTTGACTTCATTTGTGTGTATGAATACCATTGTATTTCTATTGCACATTATGGCAGACTTCCCCATTAGTATGTACCTTGTCACTCTATCGACCTTACTGCCATCTTCTCCTGATCCTCTTCTATGTCTGATGTCTTCTATCTTTAGCCATTGGTTGCCCACTGATGACATAACTCCAGTTCATGTGCACTGAAGATATCTACATCGTCCTAGCACCTGGCTCTTACCACCAATATCTTTACAGACAGACATGGCAGTCAGTACACCAATTTAAAACAAAATGAGAAAAAAGGAAAAAAGATTTTATGGTAGAGGAGATATGCAAAGTTTTTTCTGCCATAGAACTCTAGTTCCACTTTAAGTCTACCTGTACTCAAGCTAATAAATGATGCTTTTAATCTCTCCTTTTTCTGCAGTTATTGCAGCTCATTTCTGTGGGTTTGTCTTCTTCATCCCACTTATGACTTTAATGATGCATCTGAGTGTCTGAAGAGGTAAACATTACGCATGTCTATCATAATGAGTGGTTAACGTCCTCCATCTACCAGGCCACGCTCCATGGATTAATAATAGGCAGAGAGCTTGTAAAGGGAAAAGATGCCAAAGAAGCTTTTAACGAAGCATTATGTACGAAATGAAAACATTTAGTGTCAGTGTTATATATGAACCTGAAAAACAAAGGCATAATTACAAGAGGGGATGAATAACTTTGCAATGATTAGGGTGAGGCTTAGGACTACCATTGGTTCGAGGCAAATCTAGCCAGTTCCCTGTTCAAAGACCTGCTGAATTAATGGGCAAATTCACCGCCATAGTAACCAAGTAAACATAATGTACTTCCTGGCCTTTGAGCTTAGATCAGGTGGCTTAGAAGGGGCAATAAGATTGCTTTTAGAAAATTCAGCTACCTAATAAACAAAATGGTGGGTTCCCAGCAGCTATATTGGCACTGTCCTTTATCTGTGATAGGGAAAGTTTACAAAGTGCTGCTGAATTAGTACATAGGAGAGATTAATGTAGGATTTGTAGGCACCCATACAGGATTTCCAGCAAGTAACAAACTGCTATGTATCTTGGAGACTATGGGGGTGGGGGAGGGAGGGTTTTTTTACAACCCAATGCAGCTAATATTCCTAATTTCCTAATTGTTTCCGTCTGCAATTGTTTTTTCACAGCTTGTTTACAGACTGTCCCTGTCCAAATGTGCTACAGTGATAACAGGCCACATGTGTTTTTTTTTACATGGCATATGTTTTTATTGTTGCTGGCTGCAGTTCTTTTTTTTTGTAGGACTTTTTTTAATGTTGACAATGTAGCAATCATGCACACAGAGATGGACGCGGTGATCCATTTTTCTCCAAACCCCTCCATATTGTATCTCTCTCTCATAAAACAGATTATTCCGACATCCCCCCTCCCTCTCTGTTGAGTGACATGTGGTCTGTTTGTTGCAGAGATCACATTGGGAGGGCGTCATGGCTATAAAACCCCCAGCCGAGCTGGTGCCTAGATGTCTGTTAACTTCTCAATCTTGGATATCGTAAAGCCATAAACCAAGTCCTTCACTGAGCTCAAAGGCATTCCAGGTAGTCGTAAAAACAGACTTACATTTAAAAACTCACTTTTCCATACAATTTTATATCTTCAAATAGGACATAAGTACATAAACAGGAGCACATATTCGGACGGCTCACTTTAATACAAGTCGCCTGGTATATTACACCCCCTTGCTGGCATATACAGGAGAGCAGAAAATGATATCTCTTTAACCAGCATCTTCCGCAGAAGATGCTGGGTAATAATCTACTCGTGGATAGAATGGTATATATACCTAGGAAAAGTTATTGGCCATAGTATAATTTGTGAAGGCTTTGGTCATAGCCTGAGCTCCCCGCCTACACAACCCCCTCCCCAAATGAGGCGATTGGTTCTCTGCTTCAGGGAGACACCCTGTGGAGTTCCTAGGAAAAGCTAAGCTAAGCTGAGTTGAGGGAAGTTGAAGAATTCTCCCTTTTTAACATTGGAACCCACTTGGGAGACGGCCCTTTTGCTCTGCAACCTGCTCTACTTAACCCAAGGCTGAGGGCAAGTACTTTAACCCTCTAAACTTCTTTCTGTTATCTCTTTGCTGTGCTATTGTTTTCTGTATATTTATATATATATATTGGCTACATCTTTTTCTGTAAATATTTTTATTGCACCCTTTTGACCTTTTAGTAATAAATCTTACTTTCTGAAAGTGTTGAACTGTTTCTAAAGCTCTTTAATGCAAACTAAGAATCCCTGCCTCTGAAAAGCGCTACTGTGTGTGTGTTTTAAACTTCGGTATATCTCTGCCTGCGGTGACAGTGGTATACCGATGCTTATGCAGACATCATAGTGTTATTGCTGATATTGCCAAGTTTCCTCTTTCTCTGTACAAAAAAGGAGGTGGTGGCAGTGTGAAAGGTTAATTGCGTAATTAACCTGACCCAGTAACAATTGCTCCCAGGCTGCCGGCACACAGGTTGTGCTCCATAAGCTGGAAAATCTTTGTGCAGGGTGCAGTTGGCCGTGGCATTGTTACGCATGTGACAGCGCGATTTTAGATTGGCTAGTCCTTCGGTCACGAGTTTGGTGAGAAGGGCTGGGGTCTGACGCCGCTATCGTCACAGACAATAGTGTAATATTCCTGGGCACTGTGCATCAGCACAGAAATGTATAGTTTTCTTTGGGCAAGCATGTGACAGGGTGATTCACAGGGACAGAGTGCTATAAACTCAGAACACAAAGAACCCAAACACGGACCTTTGTATCATCAGCAGTTATTTTCATAAAAGCTAGCCATTAAATAAAGATAAGCTTCGCAAGTGATATTATTATGTTAAAGCTTATACAGATTTTAGCGGATGGGATTACATCTACTTTAACAAACTATGCTTTAAATTGCAGTGCTGGGGTACATTTTCTGCCTGTCATCATATGTGTCTGAAATAATTGATTGATAGTTAGCTCTTCAATTGTCAACATCTTAATTGGGACCTTTTAATTTTCTTTGCCATCACTTGAAAAGAACAAAAACAAATGTGTCAGAACAGTGTGCACCTTAACCATTTCACATTATATCATTCATACTCACCACATACCCCTTTCCCCATAGATAAATTAAAGTTAGGCATATACCAGTTAGGCCTATTATCCCTGAATATAACTGTCCTGCTAAAGGCCATGTTTACACTGCTGTAACTAATGTAGTATCTTAATTCATGTACAAAGCCCAGCCTGTGACAGTCTATTCAAGATCTGCATTTTTTTCACAGCATCTCACTCCATCTTTTGGAAATAAATTAATTGCAAAAAAAACACTTTTGCATCCAAAGCACCACAAATCCTCACCCCAGGTTATAAAAAGTTAGCATATAAATCACAAATACCCCCTGTTTTGCTGAAGGCCCTCTCTGACAAATGCATTATGGCAAGCTAGAACATTGACGACATATGGGGCCATATCCAGCTAGTGGAGGTCCATGAAACCCAGTAGTGCATGGAAATGTTTGCTTGTAAGCATTTTAATTACAGCCTTCCCATCCTTCCCCATGTTTGCTTGACTAGGGCAGGGATGGCCTTGCAAGTTAAAATTAAGAAAAAAAAATGAAAACGTAAAATTATTGAAAATGTAAAACAGTAAAAAATATACAGCAGTGATGGTAGTGGGCAAATGGCTAGGCCTAGACTAGTGTTTGTCTCTTAGCATTATCAAAGGTCAGGTTTCTGTCCTTTCAATCTTGTTTTTCAGCCTTTGTAGTCTCTTACTCCATGATTAAGACCTACTTTGGTTCTCTCTGTGCTTCAGAAATGGCCTTTTGAACCAATCAGGGACATTCCTCTTTCTACTGTTACCTACAAGGTGGCATTTCTTGTAGTAATCACCTCTGTGATGTGAGTGACTGAGTTTACAGGCTTATCTTGCAAGAAACACTTTCCGGTTTTTCACAGGTACAAATTGTTTTAGGCCTAGGACTTTCTTCTTGCCTAACGTATTACCCCAACCCCAACTGTCTTGTTCACTGCCAGCACACCAACTTTCTTAGTTCTCACAGCCATCACTCCAGCCTCCCTCCTCCTTACATTCTACCTGTTCCACCTTATTGCATTGCACATTCTGGTGGAAAGCAGGAATGAACTTCTGTACAAAGTAATGGTGATTGAGGGTGGCCTTTGGGGCACAATAATGGCACCTGTGTATGTGCAGTTGTGGTGTAGCACAGGCCGTAAACTTGCAGAAAGGGGTGTTTTGCAAAGCCAGCATTAGGATGATGGTCTCAGGGGTTATTTGCAGCTTACGTTTTTTTATTCCTTTCCAGTTGCACATAAGTTAAATAAGCCTAAAATATGCACTGCAGAGGTCCTTGTGACAGCATTGTCCAGCCAATGTCCATTTTTTACAGTACTGCTACAAATAGCCTTGAAAATGGCCAGAGTGTACAGCAGAATCAAGATATGCCCACCAAATTCAGTAGGGTTCGATTCCAAGTGTTGTGGTCTTCATGCAGGAATTGACGAAACCCCCAGCAAAGCAGACCGGAGCAGATGCACTCATCCCCAGCAGTGATCACAAAACGATCTTTAGCTGATCTTGTATGCAGAAAACTTGTGCAGATTTAGCAAACTGTAAATTAATTGTTTTTTCTGTTCACTATACTTCACTTGTTTTTAACTAAGTTGTCTCTTGAAACACATAGTTCATGGACACTTTGGCACATCTCATCATTTTTGTATTGTTGTTGTCTGTTGTCAGCTAAGTCAGCCATCAATCATTTAGGCCATAATATATTAACATGTTCTTGCTAAGAACTGGATTTAACTTTCCACAGTCGCCAATCATATTCCAAGTTTCAGGGCAGATCTGAATATGATTGATGGCTGAGGAATGGTAACTTCATTTTTGATTCATCAAACTTGTAGGAGTTGATTTGCTAAATCTGGAGAGTGCAAAATCTGGTGCAGCTGTGCATGGTAACCAATCAGCTTCTAATTTTATCTTGTTCAATTAAGCTTTGACAGTAAAACCTGGAAGCTGATTGGCTTCTATGCACAGCTGCACCAGATTTTGCACTCTCCAATTTTAGTAGATGCCTACTGTAGTGTCTGGCTGGTGAAGGTTCAGTATCGAGGCAAAGTTTTAACATCACTCCCCCAGAAATTTTCAATATACACACATGGTCAGTAGCTCAATAGTCATCAGGTCCAATACTGAGAGGGATTTCCCCAGCAGAGACAGAAACAGAAATGAAAACCTCACAAAGTTTCCAACCTATTCACATTCTATTCAAAACTTAACTTGTTTTGGATTTACAGGCTCTATAGCCAACTCCAGCCTAATTTTTTAGCTGGTCTCCCATCCCTTTCTATTTAAAACAAGTAACATTGGCAATCAGCACTCACCCTCTCTGTGCTTCGGCACTGCCCCACCTATCCATGTTCCAGTCCCTCCTAAGTTGAATAATTACCAGTGTGACATGATGGTCCTCTTCTATCTACAGCACTCATCTGTGGGCCCAGGGAGGCCTAATGATGTGCCCCCAGGGAATGTGTCCTTGATGACCATTATCCCAGGATGTCAATGGCACATCCTTTGGGAACACATCAGAGAGGCTTAATGGTGTGTTCCCAGGGGACAGCTCTAGGTCACAGTTGGCGGGGGGGGGGGGCTATTTTTTTCTGAGAACTTTTGAAACAAATCGAGGGATTTCACTGGGAATCTAGTCTGGAGAGTTTAACAGTTGAATTTCTGGCTAATGATGGAAGGAAGCATTCAAGTATCCAGGGACATTGTGAGTACAGACCTGAGTCTGGGATCCCAGTATCTGCTGCTGTTTTCCCTTGTGCACAAGTGCCTTTAGTTGCTTGGTCCAGGACAATTTCTAAAACATTTAAGTGCTGGCCAATCCCTTGATTTCTACTAGGGAGACTGTTCTAAGAAGTATTGACAAAGTGCAGAGCGTCCTCTTGTTACTCTGCAGTATTACTGGAGTGCCCCATAGCTCCCTGCACTCAATCCAAGTTTATTCAACAGTAAATCACTGTGTAAATTGACGGCGCTATATAAGTACCTGTAATAAATAAATAAATAATAAATAAATACTAAAAAGACATTCGTAGACTGATTTCTGAGCCAGAATGAATGGACTGTTGCTGTGTGCCTGGCTGCCTCCGCACAAGTCTAGGAGAAGAACCTCTGGTAATCAGCGAGGGTGGGTGCTACAGGTAAGTCAGGTAAGTACAGACATCTTTCCTTTTACAGGGAAGACAGAATAGGCTTGTATTGGGATGGAAGTAGATTAAAGCATAGTTAGATTTTAACTTGTTTCCACTTTAAATTCCCTGACATTGAAGAAGCGTTAACCGCGTTTAGTTCACCATCTGCTACTAAATATCTCTAATATCTCATTCGGTTTTCTTCTTGTTTTCTGATTACATCTCACACATCAACGGCAACTTAAAATCACACGTGTGACTCAAGGTCTGCGAATAGTTTGTTCTAGAATCAAAAGGAATTATCACCTCTGTATCCCTGTCATCTCCAATAAAACACTGT